TTTTCATTGGTTGTCACCTATAAATATCAAATTTAAATGTAATGAACATTGGAAATACATTGGTCTGTGTGCATTGCATGAATATAATGTACAATTTTCACGTTTTTAATGGAATTACTGAAATATTTTCAACCTTTTGATGATATTCTAATTTACTGGCCAGCACCTGTATGTTCATGTTGGTGGAAAGAAAAAAAATAAGCCACCACTAGAATATGGTTGAGGACAGAGGTTCCTAAGTGGGAAGATTAGGTTAAGGTGATCAGTGAAAAACTGGGTAGACATTGTCTCACCGCTGAAACCAGATAAAGCTGAGTAAAATGGTATACTGTTAACCTCTTAGTTGGGGCTACAGACTTCAAATAGTTTGCTAATGTTGAATGTGGATAAAACTCTTCAGCTAATCCAAAATGCTGCAGCTTGGGTTCTCATGAGAATAAAAACGGAGATCTCTTCTGTTTTAACTTCATTATACTGGCTCGCTGATAAATTAAGAATAGATTTTAAGATCCTCCTTCTCACATATAAAGCTCTTAATAATCAAGCGCCATCACACATCAATGATCTGATTGTTCCATATGTTCCTAACAGAACACTTTGCTCTCAGACTGCAGGTTTACTGGTGGTTCCTGGAATATCTACAAATATGATGGGAGGCAGATCTTTTTGTCATCAGGCTCCTTTCTTGTGGAACAAGCTCCCAGCTTTAGTCCATGAGGGTGACATTTTGTATACTTTTAAAACTAAGCTTACATTTTTTTTGATAGGGCCTATGGTTAAATTCTGATGAGAGCCCAGGTGTGGATGAGTGGGGGAATAGAGGGAGGTGGAGTGTACAGTAGAGAATACAGTCGGTAAAGACGTTTCTCCTTGCCCCCCACATTCCTCCTGCTAAAAGGCTAGGTTATCCTGAGTTATCTCTGTAGTTATGCTGCTATAGCCTTAAGACTGCTGGAGGACACACTGACCACTTTCCACACTCTGCTCCTTTCTTCAACCACTACTCTCTAATTGCATTATTTCCTGTTAATTCAGCTGTCAAATGTTCCCTCTAAAGCTGGGCGGACACTGTGTGACTTTTTCACTCGTAGCACTCAGCTTCAGCTCAAACTGTACGACTTCCTCGCAGAGCAGGTCTCAGAAGTCATGTGCTCACACTGTACGACCCAGTTCTCAGATGCGACCTGACTGCTCACACTGTACGTCTGGTAGAAACACGTCGGACCTAAAATATGCTAAAAATAGCAGTTTTTACACAACACGTCAGACTTTTGTCTTGTGTTGCCTGTTGTCCTTCGGGAGTGCTGCAGGAGGACACACAGGGATTTATGGGGGTTGGATGAGGAAAACGAAATAAAGAAAGTAAATCTGTGTTTTGTGACCAGTTTAATTTGACATGAACATGACAAACACGCTTTCTTGACAATCTTTGTCATTGTGTGTAAAAGATGTGTAGAAATAAAAATGAACAACGTGTGTCATTAGGGAAATAGCGGGTGAGCTGTGTTGACGCATGATTACGCATGCGCCGTGAGCGGTTCTGGTACTTTTTGGGTCACAGTCGCTCGCTGCGCCGCTTCAACCCTCACGAGGAACGAGCAAAACATCAAACACCCCAGAAGTCCGTGCGAGCTCACGATTGCTGATCGGTAGCTGGCCACCTGGTGTTAATCGCCTCTCGTAACCCCCTGTACACTACACGACGCTCAGCGCAAAACGCGCCCCGATCTTGTGTATTCTCGCACGAGTGGAAAATCGGCTCAAAAAAGTGAAAAAGTCGCACAGTGTACGCCCGGCTTAAGTGTTTTTCTCCCCAGAAGAAGCTACACTGGCGTTCTGCTGAGCTGTGATGGCCTCCTGGTGGGCGGCACACTGTTGCCAACCACTAAACATTCTCCCTCTCCTAATATTAACATTTTACTTTCTTTAACATAGAATGTGCTACTACTAGTTCATCTGTTGAATTAATTATAAATTCCCTCAGATAAAGACAAGATGCAGTAAGTTTATATCTTACTAAATAGAATATCTCACAATGTATACAGCTATAGGAAAACTAATGGTGTGCGTGCGTGTGCGTGTGTGCGTGTGCGTGTGTGTGTGTGTGTGTGTGTGTGTGCTCTGTCTTCTCGATCCCCAGTGAGTCATGGAGGATGGCTGCTTATACTGAGCCAGGATCCTCTGGAGGTGTCTTCTTGTTAAAAGGGAGTTTTCCTCTCCACTGTCGCAACATGCTTGCTTAGTATGAGGATTGCTGTGAAGACTTTGACACTAGTCAGTGACTTGATGCAGTCAGCTGGTTCCTTATATAGGAAACTGTAATCCAATTGGCATAATGAACTGAACTCATCTGGAATGTTTTATTTTGTGAAGTGCCTCGAGACAACTCTTGTGATTTGGCTCTATATGACTAAACTGAATTAAGGATATTTTTATTTACTTGATTTCTTTATTATTTGTTCTTCTTTCCTTTTTAATAAGTTGAAAGAATTATGTCAGAAGTGTTAGAAATTACAAAAAGAACTGGAAAATCAGAGGCAGCAATGGAACCTGGTTTTATTTCTGAAGTTACTGTGATTATTTAGGATGGGGCATGACACTAAGGTGGTTTAAGTCCATTTCCAGTACAGAAAACTTGTGCATACCTTTTGTACTTTGATTTTTATTTATTTTTTTGGCTATATGATATTCTAACAAGTGTATGTTGTGGATGAGCATAAAAAATAAATAATATAAAGTTGCAATATAAAGCCTGGCAAAATTATTTTCTTGTGCTTTTTACATTTCTGTTTTATACATTTGTACCAAACTCACAGGGCTGTAGGTTCAAACATGTGCCTGCACCAGTATGACCCGGTAGCTAACTTAAATGTTTCTAAAAGGGGAAATCATACAAAATTAAATCACCATGCGTGAGTACGACTGTGGATGTTTGGAGTTTTACTCATTTTCAGTTTCTCTTGTTTCATTAAACTCATTGGCCAACATTATGGTACCCAGAAATACTAGCTGTACCTACATTTTAGACCTTTTAGCTCTATAATAGGATTAGTACATTCTTCAAACTTCTTCTCCATTGAACTCTGTTTAAGTCGTCTGCCTCCTTGTGGAACGTCTAAGCACTGCAGGAGGTAAGTGCCAATCATCTTTAATTAATACTGTTTAATACTGTTTTTTTTCCTTCATCTGTAAGTGTAATAATGTTTTAAAAGGAAATGTACAATCAGAATAAACATGTATTTATTTATTTTCCTCATTCAATGTTTTCAATAGTTATACAATTGCTTTCTTGATATTGCCAATAAATAGATCAATCTTTTTAGGAAAAAAAAGTTTCCAATAGTCACATGTCAAGCTTTAAAGAGTCAAATAAATTACTTAAAAATATATTTTTGGATGGTTAAGGTTGTGTAAATTTAGCCACTGTAACGCTCAACCTGAACACTATAAAAGTTGTTCTGGCCAGTTTAACATTTACACTAGGGATGAGCCGGATACTCGTTGACGAATATCCGGTACGGATAAAGCATTTTTGACGAATACGAGCATGAAACGAGTAAAACTGGTCAATATCTGTAATCGTGCTGAAGGAAAATCTTCATTGGGTAACTGACTGTCTTCACGCTCTGTGATTGGCCAGTCACATAGAGCGCCCGCCCCTCCCCACACACAAAACTCTGCAGCCGGCCGGGAGCGCAGTCCGTCCTGTTCATCCACGCACACACACAGACAGTAACGGATATCGCTGTGATTGCTTCACTGTTTCTCACGTTTCTTCAGTTTTCCCTAGGTTTTCTTCAGCTCGCCTCTTTTTCGGTTGAATATTTAAAGTGACTTTTTTCGTAACTTACATGGTGCATTTGACAAGGCGGAGCTGACGTGCTGAGTCACTACCTCCGCTCCGGTCTGGTTTTTTTTTTTATTTTTTTGAAATCTCTCTCACTCACTCACTCACTCACTCACTCACTCACACAAATCAACATTGTTTTGTTTAACTTTGTGTGGGAAAATACCAAGAATGTTAAGAAAAAAATCTGTTTAATCAAATTAAAATTAAAAAAAATATATATATATATAAAGTTGTGCCTGGTTCTAGCATTTCATATTTCCTAGTTCCTACTGCATGAGTCCAGATGTATTAATCCATGCACTCAAATATTAATGTTCTGATTTTATTGAAACACTTGTTCTGTAATAGTTTCTTTACTATTGTGATCAAAAATATTTAATCTCAATTCTGAGGCTGCTCTGTAAATAGTTTTCAAATAAACAATACACATAACAACTTCTGATCAATCCATATCAATTTCAGACTTAAAATAATATATTGATGTAAACCACGCCCACTTCCGGGTTATGCCACGCCCATTCCGAGTACAGATACAGATACAGATAATTTAGTTGGTTGAACAGATACAGATACAGATAGTGGTGTACTCGCTCATCCCTAATTTACACTAAAGATTATTTAGTTAGCCCTACTGATTTAATGGATGGTCTCAGGTTTGATTAAAGGACCAACAGGAGATGAACCTGCATAAACCTCATTTTATTGAACAGATGGGAGGTAAAATGAGGGCAACTGAGGTTAAAGAAACACAAAAAACCCTCAGCTACTCTCTACTCATCCCATCAATCAAAACATCCCATTGAGATTACCTCTATTATAACCTGGTTTTGAAGCTACACAATCCCAAAGATTGCTTCATTTCAAGCCATCCACACAGACAATCCTTGGATTAAGTGCAGACCCTACAGCACTGTGGCAGAAGACTCCGTTTACCATTTGGGGTACAAATCTCTATCAGTGAGAACTAAAGGGAAAAGGTGTTAGACCCTACAGATAAAAACAAAATAGCGACTAATTCTGATTAAAACTTCATTATGCAGCCACAGTCTCAAGTCAGTGCGTTCAATTACCCCAAATTGACGTTGGTGTTAGTGGTTAAACCCAACAAAGGGTTTAGCAGTACAGAATGTCTGGTGTGAGGGAGCCTTACCTCAGAGTTTAGTGTGTGATCTGCGGTGGTGTACAGAGCCTGCAAGAGACTTGGTTCTGATTGCGGATGAGCACGCAGAGAAAAGCCATCAAACCGGAGCTCTGATGCACACTGACACACACCCACAGAGAGAAACACGAGTTAGAAAACATCCAGTCTCGCTCTCTGCAGAATGAAGTAAATGCATGCTGGCCAAACCTTGAAAATAACATTTTCTTAGCAACTTGGGACTTTTTGTCGCAATAACCGACATCTTGAATGCGGATGGCTTAGTCGTGGCTGTGCATCCTTTTTTGTGAGTTTCATCAAAATACATGTGTGGCGTTAGCTATGATGCCAAAAAAACAGGGTTGACTTAATGGCTATTTGGTTTAACACTTAAATGGTGTTAGTAGATCAAAGAAAGAGATCTTAAAGTCCATCTACACCACATATGTCAGACTCAAGGCCCGCGGGCCAGATGCGGCCCGCGGAGCATTTTTATGTGGCCCGCGAGATAAATATCAAAAATATATTAAAACTGGCCCGCTGGCCAATTTTACCGCAAAGACTTCAACTCCCATGATGTTTTGCGGCGTCAGCGCGGAGGCGACGCGCCCCCTCCTTGGTTTTTTCCAGCCCGAGGCAGTCAGGGGTAGTTGGGCGTCTGCAGCCCCGCTGTCTCGGACAAACTACACTCCTCTCACTCAGCGCCGAGTTCACTCAGCTGTTTTCTGACATTGAAGCCCAGAAACGGAGATTCTAGCCGCTCAGTAATGTGTTCACGACTTAAAGAGGAAGTTTTCCAACTAACGTCCGGACAGAGCTGATGTAACTCCAGCGAGCAGCGACACGCTCAAACCAGCATGACTCTTTGGCTGCTGTCGTGTTTCCTCCCCGACACACAACGTGGTCAAGCTGCTCAGACATGTTCATCAGCACAAACCTATGTGAGCACCTGTTGTCATCTAATTTTGTCAATATTATGATGAAGATGAACAAAACAACAGGAGTCTCCTCCTCAGCTCAGATCAATCCCATGATGCAGGTATCTGGCTGGAACAGGTGAGCATCACAGTAAACCAGTGGAGCAAACTGAGCTTTAAATATGTTGGTTTTATGCTCTTTTTCTGCTCCAAAAAATGAAAGTTAACAGGTGAGATGTTGCATTTTCATTTAAGATAAAATTATATTTTATTTTGTTGTTGGCCCGTGAGAAAAGATTTAACCTACAGTAAACAGGAAGTGGAAAGGCTGCAGATAGATGAATAGAATAGAAAATCCCTTTATTGTTCCTCAATGGGGAAAGCTAGATGTCACAGCAGTGATGACACTTATTACAGGAGAAAAAAAGGAGAATAAAAAATAAGAAAAATGAACAAACAAGAAAACATAAATCCTGAATAGATTTTAAAAATGCTGAATATACCACAAGTAATGAATACCACTGATGCCTTTTATTTAAAACTGACTTGCTCGTGTGTAATTTGGTTATTCCACATTCAGTGTTAATGCAGACATAAGTTTGTTTCCAAATTTAAAGGTTCAAAATTGCATACATGTTGATAAATAAAATGTGCAAATTTGCCGTCACTTTTTCAAAAAATATTAAGTTTGGCCCTCGACTCTATCCCAGAGTCTCATTTCGGCCCCGTGTGAGTTTGAGTTTGACACCCCTGCTCTAGTGGCTCAAGGGACAATGTACTAAGAGACGAGCATGAACACAAAAACATAGTTGCCCATCTTTGAACTTTCTGTAGCAGGCAACAATAAACTGTCTGATATCTTCTGTTAGATGGAAAATAATCCTGCTATGCTGCTGTCCCATGGGTGTATAAATGCAGGTACTTAATAGATAAGTACACAAAAATTAGCTGCATTACATGACAATGATAAGGGTCTCATTTTAAGACGAGCTTGTACTCGTTCGGGAGTGCTTCTTTGTTCCACCTCCCCAGCTGGGAACCTTTTACCAGCTGACAGCTGGAGCAGACTTTCTTCTGAAGGCAGCTGCTCAGAAAAGGTCATTTTCATGAAGGAGAAGTTGGATGCTTGCCTCAGCATACTCACATCAAAACAGAGAGCAGGAAGGGCTGAAGAAAAAAATTAGTATCCAAGCAATCGTGTATCTGGTTAACATGAATATAGATACGCACCAATCAGCCTGAAGGACGAATAAAGAGTTGCTACAACTCAATGTGGTGAAATATTATTCAGCGTTTTATGCTGCCTCCGTTTTTAATCAATTATATTATTATGGTGCTCTTAAAGCGACTTTACGGAGTTTAGAATTTTTATGCTCACGATTGCCCCCTCAGGCCAAAAGCGTAACGGCAGCTTCAATAGTAGGCTCGTGCACGAGGCGCGCATGCTGTACGTGCACACTCCTTAACGAAAATAACAGCTGAGAGTCCCATGTGTGTGTGTGTGTGTGTGTGTGTGTGTGTGTGTGTGTGTGTGTGTGTGTGTGTGTGTGTGTGTCGGAGGACAGGAGAACGCACAGCTAATTAATTAAATAATTTGGTTATAGGGATATGATTTTCTACATCTGTTTATTTTTACTAATATGATTATTTTTTATCTGACAGCATTTATTTAACAGCACTTGGGACATAAATATGGCACGGGCCTGAGAGGATCGGACCTCAGACATGTTATTCACACACATGCTTCAGCACATTAAAACATTCAGCTGAAACGTTTGATGGTAGTAATCGTGCCAAAACGGGCATGCCCAGACCAGGCAGAGGCAGCTCTGCCATGGTAATGTAGACAGCTCAAAGATATTTCCCAAGACCCCTCAGTGACCCGAGGGCAAGCGCTCCAAACTCATTCAGCAGCAGAGACAGACTGGTCCCCAAGGGAAAATGTGTGGACATTTGTCTTTTAGCTCTGAATGCTCTGCAGGAGTCATGTGGAACGAAAAGGGAAGCATGAAAATAAAACCTGATACTCTAATCAAGTTAGAAATTCAGAATTATTTCTGTTATTCAGCTCTTCTAAATCAATTAGGTCTGATGCAACTTTTCTGTTTTCGTGTCTGGACGGTGTCACAGGTCAGAACTTATTAAAATAAACACAGAGAACATTTAGCTAAATTCTCAAGTGCCAAATAAAGTCTGTTCTCCACGATTTTCTCCTGGTCTCCACGGCACCTGATAATGGTGAAGCCACACTAAACAAGCACATTCTAGACTATTGGAACGTAATCTCACTGATGCATGATCACAAAGTTGGGTCAAAGAGTTCTCTTTGATTAGGGCATTAGGCTTCTAATAGATATTTGATTGCTTTATCTTAAATATTTTAGTTATTGCCATCATATCACAAATAATATCAACTAGCATTCATTTAAAGGTTAAACAGAAGATGCAGAATCAACATGATGCATTAGTGCAGGAAACACTTGCACATATCGACTTGGGACAGTCCCCCTGCAGCAGGTCTCTGAGCAAAACCTGCTGACAGACTGAAACTACATCAAGTCCGAGCAGCAACAGACTGGATCTGAGGGTGGGCTCACGGCACACACTTAAAAAGCAGGTGAACGTCCTCGCAGTAGGTTTGGGTTCACCAAGTTTTGTCATTACAGACAATTAAAAAGTGATTTACGAGGCTACAGAATGGATCCCTTTAGACAAGAAGCAGCGTGTGCAGCATTCGCCACAGGCGCTCTGATCATATGCATTAACAGATCTCGTTCAGTGCTGGGAGACTGAAAATGTGAGACGGATAAGTATTCTTCTGCTGCTGCTCGTGTAGTGTATATCTGCTCGGCCCTGATGGAGTGGCTCTGCTCAGCAGGCTGTCACACTGCTGCACACTCACCCTGAAGTAGATCCGAAGCCAGTCACCGCACAAGAGCAGCTCCTGAACGAGCCTTAGCTCAGAGGACAGAGAAGCTGCACGCTCTGTTGCATTTTCCCTGTTTTCAGTTTCAAATGTAAAACCTGTGATTTTCTCTGATCATTTCCAACAGAAGGTTTTTAAAGAAAAGTTATTGATGTTAACATGGTTGTCATTTTACACACCGCAGTATCTTATCTAAACTTACATCATCAGACATTTTATGGTGGAGATAGTTCAAATAAACCAAATCTGACCTTCTTCTCTCTGATGACCAGGCCTCCTCTCCACATTTCTCTGTAGTCGATGCAGCTGAGCAGGTCAGCAGGCTCGACCAGACCTGCGCTCAGGGAGGACGCGGCCTTCTGCCACCTGAAGAATTGAAAACGATTCCTTGAACTTCAGTTAACATCTGACCCGCCTAAACCTCCATTGAATATTAAATAAATAATAAAAACCTGCTGCATTGTGAACATTCTCTGGGACCTTCTGGGCATTTAGCAGGATTTTGTATGAAATTTAAACGTTAAGCTGATCATACTTTTATATCTAACTCCCTCTAGTGGTGAACGTGGGTCATTACAACCAATGCAAAATGAGATGAAAAGGCTTCAGAACAAACACGAGAAAGAAGCACAACATTTATGGGTATCAAATAAAGAAATAAACTAATACTTGGTAAAAAATAAATAAAAAGATTTTATTTTAATTTATTGTTTACAACATAAAACAGAAAAGAGTCTCCTTACCCAGCAGTATGCTCTGTAACCACGGTGATTTTTGCAGAATGCCAGCAGGCCATGTGTTTAAGGGCTCCCAACAGAGGCAGCAGGTCTTTAACAGGCGGGGGCTGTTCACAAGGAGCCAGCAACAGAACATCCAGCAAGGCTTTACCTAGGAAGGAGGAATGGGACAGTTCACTTTGTTGTGCTGCTTTACTTTTTAACCACTTACATTAGAGAACTCCTGTATTATATGGATGATGTGAGCTACCAGTGTTTTATCAGACACGTTTAAAATAAGTAACCAGGTCAGGAATTATCTTCTGTGTGACTGCAGCAGAAACAGACATAGTTTTAATTTACAACCCCTTATTATAGACTAGGGATGCACCGATCAGGTTTTTTGCTGCCGATCACCGATACCGATATCAAAGAATGCTGATCACCGATCACGATCACGTGGATTGGCCAGAAATTTTCTACAACATTATAATGAGTGCTACAAACTACATAATCTGGGAATAAAGGAAATGTAACCTAATCTCAAATGGTCTGATCGGTCTGCTTTGATCTATTTTGAAAACTCCAATCAAAACCGATAGGGGCGCTATCGGCCGATTGGGATCAAATGCCGATCCATCGGTGCATCCCGATTATAGACAGCTTATAAACATGATGTTTGCTGCTGTAAACGTCTCACTTTTGACACATGGAGACATTACACTGAGAAACGTGAAGGCTGAGCTGTGCAACGTGTGAAAACATTTCAATAACCACCACAGAACAATATGTGCTGGACTACTTTAACAGATTCATTAGAGCGAAACTAAAATCTCCTAAATAACAGGAAGTGGATGCTGTGCTTTGACCAATCCTACCTGGAGGTGGCAGCTTGTCTGACAACACATGAAGTCCTTCTGCAGCCTCATCTAGCAGCCTGTTTAACAGAGATATTCAGAATACATCGGCATAGAACCATCCCATAATTTCTTCCTCGATTACCGGTTGTCCTCGTTGTTTTACTTTTACGTGTGCGTTAAATTTAAGTCCGAGATTTGTAAGAAAATGCTTCTTATTTATTATGAAGGTACATTTATAGGAAAATGGTTCTTTACAGAAAAACAGGCCAAATACAATCAGCGCTCACTCTGTGAGTGACAGCTGCTCCTCCCTTCGATCTGCTTCCTCCTGGTTTTTCAGTGAAGTCAGACATTCCTCAACAGCCGTACACCTCTCCTCCTCCTCAGAGTCAGCTGTGTGATGACTTGTCACCAGTTCTTCCCAGTCAGAGCTGCAAAACTTGATTGAAACCAGAGTTAATTAAAAGAACTTGATTAAAATCACAAACGGATGGTCTGAATGAGGAAATATATCTGCATCTTGCTTGTACACATGATCTATGACGAATGCATCCACAACGACACCAGGTGTTGATCAAACTTCTGATCATGAATAATGCTAAAGCTACTGCTCGAGAGTTATCTACAGACAAAACGGCACAGCAGTTTCTAGAATAAAACACGTATACTGGGTTTTAAGTGGTCAAGAACAGAAACAGAGAGATTCGTAGTAAAGTGTTCCAAGTTGATTAACATTAGCTGTACAACAGCAATGGTTCGTTCACTAGATTTCTGATTATTTTATTCAGTTTTAACCAATTTATAAGAAAATAATTATCTCAAGTGTGGCTAAAACTCTGCTTGTGTTTTGAGCAACGTTTTTGCTAACTAGTATTTTCCAAAGTCATCAGGAATGTTTTCCAGTTTCCAGAGGTGTGACCAAGTCACTGCTTTGCAAGTCACAAGTCTTTCCAGTCAAGTCTCGAGTCAAGTCCAAGTCAAAGACAAACAAGTCGAGTTCAAAGTCAATGATGTGGAAGTCCAAGTCCTTAACTCTGAATTTTCAAGTCATAATCGAGTCATCTGTCAAACTTGTATTTAATGACGATGATAATAAATACATTCCAGAAATAAAGCTGATATAATAATGATTCTAAACAAAGAGCTGCTGCAGTTAGCGGTACAACATCAAACCCAGAACCAAGAATGATTCATGATTTCCGTCCATGTCGTGCCACTTTTGTGCTAAAATATCAAATATGCTCAAGTCATCATCAAGTCAACAGATGCAAGTCGATTCAATTTGCAAGTCATCGACGTTCAAGTCTGAGTCAAGTCATAAGTCTTTATAGATTTTATCAAGTCAGGTCAGAAGTCATTAAAATAATGACTCAAGTCTGACTCGATACCAAGTCGTGTGACTCGAGTCCACACCTCTGCCAGTTTCTCACCTGTGATGCCGACTGGCAAGCCTGAACAGCAAAGTAGCACCTCGGAGGTGTCGGGCAGCCACTCAGCGAGCAGGCTGGGAAACAGGAAGACAGAGGTGAGAGGAAGTTGGTGTGAAAACAGCAGCTGTGTGAATAAAACTCAGTTAAAAGTTCTCACACCTGGAAACACAGAAAGCGGTTTGGCCGAGTCCTGAGTGGACATCTCCACAAGTGTGCTGTAGACATTCTTTATTTGCGCCAAACCTGCAGACAGGGACACAGCAGTCAAAGTTTGCTCACAAACAACAGATTTATTCCATATTAAAAATAGATAAAGAACATTTATTGACTTTCTTATGAGGCAGGCACTTTATTCAGGATATAATAAATGTGCTGCTTTTCGTCAAAATGTAATCCTGACAGTAATAAAACTATTGACATCCTCAACAATTCAAACACCAAGACATGTAGCTGTAATCTGTGTGGCCATAATAAAGTATAGTGGTTTTAGAGTAATGTCAGGAGGTGTGGACTCGAGTCACATGACTTGGACTTGAGTCATTATTTTAATGACTTGTGACTTGACTTGATAAAATCTATTAAGACTTACGACTTGACTCGAGACTTGAGATTTACTTGTGACTTGCAAAGCAGTGACTTGGTCATACCTCTGGTAATGTCTGCATTTGTCTTATTGTTTCCGAGTTCATTTTAAATCAGGACAGTGTCTAAACTGTCTTTACTAATCTAGTGTTTTTGTAATTCCTGTTCTGTTTATGACACTAAAGAATCCGGTTAGCTTTAAGTGCTAAAACAACACAACTACTTTAAAAGAACCCTTCGCTACTATGATATGAGACAGGCCATAGATATTTAGGTAGGGTCAGTAAAACTGTAACTACACCTGAAAACAATGTGGCGCTAAACAAATAGCGTCATTTGCCTCTGAAGCGACTGTCCTGGCTAGCTAAGCAGCCTTAGCACAGCTAACTTTAGAAGCGCAGGACGGACTTCTTAGTAAAACTTACGTGCATCATCTTCCGTGAAGTTGTCTGACGTTTGGCAAAAGTAAATAACCAACACATAGCGGTCCATCGTGCAAAAACATCTGTAAATACTGTTTGGTGTGACGTCAATTTCCCGCCAGCTCTTCTTCTATTGTAGAAATAACTTCATGAAGTTAAACTCGCCACACCGCCCTCTAACGGACTGACCATGAACTGACACAGGTCAGCTTCCACAACCGTGTCTCTCCACTTGCGAGTGAAACTCGCAACAACTGGAAAATCCAGCAAAAGTCAAATTATTTCAGTAATTCAGCGGAGGCTGATCAACTATCTAAAGGCTCAGGAACCCTTTGCAGATGTTTTGGATTAATTAGCTGATTAGAGAGTGAATTGGGCCTGGATAATTGAACCTATTCATAGTATTCTAAGTGTTTTTTATACTAAGCAAGCATGTAGTGACAGTGGAAAATAAAAAAACCCTTTCACAGGAAGAAACCTCCAAAAGAAGCAGGCTCAGTATGATCAGTCGTCTCCCAATCATGTTTTCTTCTTAATGTTGTTTGTGAAGCACTATGTGACTCTTTCTGTGCTGCATAAATAAACTAAACTAACCTGCTCACTTATATGCTCTAATTGGCTAAGACTGCAAATTTATGCTGTAATTTCATTTTCTGTAACAGATGACGCTGCGGCGCAGGACCCCGTCCAAGTTTCTTCAGATTAGCTGTTCACTGTCACAACATGCCGGTGAGGGAAGCAGGCAGGCAGGCAGGCAGGCAGGCAGGCAGGCAGGCAATCCAGAATGAGTTTATAGTCTTTAATCTTGAACACACACTGGACAATGAAACAATGAGCCACCCAGACAAAATGGACTAACAGGGTTTAAATACAGGAGGAGCTGGGACCTTGGGTGATTGGGAGACGAGAGGCAGGTGGGAGCAATTAACATGGACACAGGACTGAACAGAATGGGGAGACAGGACAGGGTGTGACATTCACTATGACCCAGAAACAATTTCAAGTTGAAATGGTAAATGGCCTGTATCTGGTGTAGCACCTTCTGGAGTCCTGGAACCCCCCAAAGGCACTTTACAATAGAATCAGTCATTCACCCATTCACACACCCATTCACTACCTGGTGGTATAAAATGATCAAAGTAAACCCACATGCATGAGGGAGAAAATGGTTGCATCACGCAGAAAGGTTGCATCTTGATTTAGAACCAGCAACCTCACTGAGAGGCTACAGCACCAACACCTTTTCTACCATGCAGCAGCCCCATGCGCACCTTGTTCTTGGCGTGTGTGTTTGTTCGGTGGGACATTGGCTCTGCGGGCCTCAAGAGGCCCAGAGTGGGACCCTGCAAGGACGGACTGGCCATCTGGTGTATCGGGGGAGAGGGAGGGGAGACCGGGAGTCTGCCCCACTGATTGAGAACTACGTGCTTTAGTCACCAATTAACCTAGCTGTTTTACATGACACTGAACAAATAAGTTAGTAACTAAATGGTAAAATGGTAAATGGCCTGTATTTGATATAGCGCCTTATAGAGTCCTGGAACCCCCCAAGGCGCTTTACAACACAATCAGTCATTCACCCATTCACACACACATTCATACACTGGTGGGGATGAGCAACGATGTAGCCACAGCTGCCCTGGGGCGCACTGACAGAGGTGAGGCTGCCGAGCACTGGTACCACCAGTTTCTCCGACCACCACCAGCAGGCAACGTGGGTTAAGTGTCTTGCCCAAGGACACAACGACAGCGACAGACTGAGCGGGGCTCGAACCTGCAACCTTCCGATTACGGGGCGAGCACTTAACTCCTGTGCCACCATCGCCCCTGTAACTACTACTACTACAGTAAGAATAATCAAGTAACAATAAAAATATCTACACTGAAACATAAAAACAATCAGTTAGAGCGACAAAAACTGTAACGTGGGCAGCAGTAGCTCAGGAGGTAGAGCGGGTTGTCCAGCGATCGGAGCGTAGTATCATTCCCAGATCCCGGCAGAGAATGCTCCTGTTGTGTCCTTGGGCAAGACACTTAATCCACCGGTGGATGATGCAATGTAGTGTAAAGCGCTTTGGAGTCCTCTAACTCTGAAAGGTGCTACACAAGTGTGGGTCATTTATAAAAGATCCCTCAAAGGACATCAGTTTTGTTGTATGACCCTACACAGAAGCGGCTTGTTTACATGGGGGAGAATACGCTAGCGTCATACAGAAAGGTTGCTGCTGGAATTTGGACCAGCAACATTGTTGTAAGGCTAAAGGGTTAACATATTCTCCACCACACAGTCCCATTTTTCCATGTGTCTGTGTGTTGGGGAGGTGTCGTCCACCAGTCTATATGTTCAGAGACTCTCTTGGTCAGCTTGCTTCCCACACCAAACCATCTGTCAGGAATCTTGGCATGACCTTTGACCCAGCTCTCACCCTGGATTCTCATGTCAGTTCTCTTGTTCGCTCTTCCTTCTTCCATCTCAGGAACATTGCTAAGCTGAGTCCCAGTCTGTCCCGCTCTGAACTTGAGACAGTTCTCCACTCCTTCATCTCCTCACGCTTAGACTACTGTAACTCTCTTTTCACGTGTCTGAGCAGAACCTCCCTGAACCGTCTACAGGTGGTTCAGAATGCCTGTGCTCGGCTTCTGACCAAGTCCTCCAAACACACCCACATCACCCCGCTTCTCCTCCAGCTTCACCGGCTGCCAGTAAACTTCAGGGTTCATTTCAAGATCCTGGTTCTGGTCTATAGGGCCTTGCATGGACAAGCACCATCTTACATTGGTGATCTTCTTAGTCCCTACACCCCCAGCAGGTCCCTGAGGTCCAGTGATCAAAGCCTACTGGTTGTGCAGCACCAGGCTACAGACCAAAGGTGACAGATCATTTGCTGCTGTGGCCCCCAGACTCTGGAACTCTCTCCTCCTGAGCCTGAGATCAGTGGACTCAGTGGTCTCCTTCAAAAAGCAGCTGAAGACTCACTTGTTCAAGCTGGCTTTTGTGTGACCTTCTTCACCACTCTCTCTTTATTCTGCTCTCCCCACCTATTCCACCTTCCTCAGGATCCACTGATTTCCCTCTTTCCTATTCACTCTCTCTCTTTCTTAACATTTTTTCTTTTAAATCGCAATTGCTTATTCTTGCTCATTTTAAATATATTTTTAAACATTTTCTGAATGCTTTTTTATATTTTTACAATTTTTTACATTTTTTGTTTTTGTGAAGCGCCTCATGATTTTTTATCTTGAGAGGCGCTATAGAAATGATATTTTCTTCTTTTTCTTCTTTTTCTTCTTCTTCTTCTTCTTCTTCTTCTTCTTCTTCTTCTTCTTCTTCTTCTTCTTCTTCTTCTTCTTCAGTCAGAGGAGTTGATTTTGTGTTTCCATAGATGTGCTGGAGTCATAAACTCCATGAAAGGTTCCCCTGATGTTTTCTGACTGGTTGTGGAACCTCGTCTTTGGGGCTTAAGTCTTTAGGGGAAGTGTTTTTTCCACGGAGACCTCTGTCCGTTTCCACTGAATCTAACTTTTCCGCACAGATTCCGGTCAGTGTCCAAGCCTGTGTCTATCTGACA